TCATCTTTAAAACATTTTGAACATCACTCACCACAAACCCTTGATGACTTTATTTTTGAAACCAACACCACCACAACAACTAATAAAACTCTGATTAACTCACCCTCTACCTATACTGCTCAAACTCAGCTAGAACTTTCCCAGGTTCTTTCTGATATTAACCATTATGATCCATTCATTGATGCTTCTAAACCAGAAAATCCAAATGTTGTCCTTAAACAACAAATGCCTGAAAGAACACTAAAAATACCAGGCATAACTTGTCCTCTCAAAAATCCTGAACCACAGGATATCATCATCCTTCAAACTCAGAACATCCATATCATCCTAGATACTCCCTCCATATACATCAGCACAAAACTCACCTCTCTATATTCACAACTCCTCAGATTATCACACTCGCATAGAACAATCAGCAGATCATCTGCGAATTACAGTTGATCAACAAGCCTTGGACAACCTAATTAAATCCTCTAAAAAAATAGTTGTTCCAAAACACAAACCAAAACCAACCAAACCAGGTGTTGGTAAATTGTTGTTGGATTTTGAAATGGAAATGCAGGAATGGGTCTCTACTCTGAAGCAGGTTTGCATCAACAACTTCAACCCAGCTGCTTCAGACTCCCTCTGAACCAGTTCAGAAAATGGTTTCATTCTGAACCAATCAAGCTAAAGGAACTTATCTATGAGTATGCTCAGCAGAACTTCTTTGATCAGCTAAATGTCTTCAAGGATCAAGTTTTGAAACTCTGGGAAAAGAAATCTATTTTACAACTAGATAACACTCCTTTGGAATCTCTACAGAAATTATAATTTTGAGAACCATCTCTTGAACCTCAACCTTTGGTCTTTTACCAAGAAAAAGGAAAGTCAGTTAAAGAATCTTCTGTGAATGTGACTGTTGAAGAAATTGCGCCAACTTCTCTCATGCTGAAAACTCTGGATGAGTTGAAGAAAGAGAATGAGGTTGTTAGGGAAAGGCTGGATAAACAAGACGAAACCAACAAAGAGACTAATAGAATTCTAATCAAGCAATAAGAATCCAACACTCATATCAAAGGTCTTATGGAAGCATTGTTCACGCTCCTTCCACCTCCACAAACTTGGATCTAGTTATTTATTTCACTTGTCGTTGTTTTGATGTTTTTGCTTATATTATGTATGTTCTTTTTTGTTTAATATATGAATTTTTGTTGCTCTAGTTAACTGTGTTTTTCTCTATTTTCCTTATTTTATTCTTTTTGATTTATGACAAATAGGGGGAGAAGTGAAAATATTTTGATATTACAGTTTTGGACTAAGTCTCAAACATTTTGATATAATGTAACTTCTGATTCTGAAAGCTTTCAATAATACTCTTCACTATAAACTTGTGGTGTGCATTACCAGTCTTAAACATAGGCTTCTCAAATCTTCCATCATATTCTCTGATCAAACTTTTGACGAGTAAACATCTTCAGAGAAGTTTTTATTCATAAACTATTTCTATTGTATCTGAGTATTAAACTCAGGGGGAGACTCTGATAATATCTTATACTATTAAACTAGAACATTATTCATTAAAATATGTAAGTTTTGTCATCATCAAAAAGGGGGATATTGTTAGAACATAGTTTGGTTCTACATCTTAATCATAAGTTTTGATGATAACAGATACATAGTTATTATTAAGAACAATTATGCTCTTTAATTGTTTGATTAAATGTACAGAGAAGTTTTAATGATAACTAAGATGGTAATGACTTGAATGATCATATGTGAACCTCTGAAGAGAATATTCTTATAAGAAGTTTCGATGCATAAGACAAACTTCTGAAGCACCAAGCTGCCTATTATACTCTGATAAGAAAGATTTGGAAGAAAAAATAAGTTTCAATGTACTCAGCTAACTGATGTTCTAATACCAAGCACTCAAAGATATGAAGATCTGCTGATCCAAACATCACATTAATATCAATCAAGAAAGTAACGGCTAGAACTTTATTACTGGAAACAAGATCTGTATTTTTGGAAAGAATGTTAACACCTCAAATAATCAACCTTCCAAAAATAAGTTTTTATGTCTCCAATGGATCTAAAACTTCTTCTATATAAAAGGGATGATGAAGATGGATCAAACAACATATTCACGCATAACAAGAGCACTCAAAATGTCTCACATATTTTATCTTGTGTAAAGTTATTCTTTGTACTATAACTTGTGTAAACATCACAGTTCTGATATAGCTTGTTAGAAGCATTTGTAAACACATTGTATATTTGCTTAAAACCGTACTTCCTTGAGAAACAAAGTTGTGGTTAGATCTCAAGAAGACGTTGGCAGTTGTCTTCGTAATTTTTGTAATCATCTTGATTAGTGGATTAAGACCTCGACTGAGAGAGGTGAAATCACCTTGACGGGTGGACTAGAGTAGCTTTGATTTCAAAAAGAATCAGGATAACCAATGTGTTTTATAGATTTAGTTTTTGAAAACCCTAATTCAAACCCCCTTTCTTGTGTTTTTTTATTCTTCAGTTTCTCGCACCATCTTATGTGAGGATTATTTGTGCTTGTATAGTTTTGTGTGTTGTGCAGGATGGGCATGATATTGGATACGTGTGTGATTTCTTTCACATGATGCTTTGATGCTTATTATCATTATGTCTGATTTCTGACTATGTGCTTTATTGGTGAAGCTTGCACAAAGTTTTCCGGGTTTCTTTGTTTTGCTTGCTTGCTACAAACTTTTGTTCATTTGATATTGCTCTAATTCTGGTTTTAGTTCCGCATTGTAATTTCTTTTATTTCCCATGAGATGTAGGAATAGAGATGCATGACTGGGAGTCCCTACTTTAGGTGAACAAATTTTTTTTAAAGATCTTTAGAAGGCATTTTTGTATGTGCATTTACTTGTGTTTATTTGTATGCAAAAGACCTTGATTAAGGCAAATCCTATTTCCCGTTTACTTTGTGCTTGTTATCCAGCCAGTAAGTGGAAAAAGGTCCCGCAATTGGCCCCCACACTTTCTAGTCTATTTCGTTCTTAGCTCGCACCATACGTTGATGCTTTAAATTGTGCTTATTCTTGTCCATTGAGTCAATCAAGTGGAAGAAATGGTTTGTAACCAACACCCACATTTTTTCATTCGTTTAGATGATGTTAGCTCGCGTTTCTTTAAACATTGCGCTTCGAGTTATTGCTCGATATCGGTGCTTGAGAAAATCAAGTGGAAAGAGTTCCTTAGTCCCACTTTGAAATCCATTGGATTCGATATTTGTTGATATATCACACTCAATTTTTGTTTTGGTTTTGGATTCAACTTTTTTTTATTGCACTTGTGTTGTGCCTTTCTTTAAAACTTTGTGTGCTCCCATAGGATCGCTCAAATCATCTTTAAGTTGAGGTAGACATTAGGATATCAAACGATAAATGCTAATTTAGGTAGTGTTTTCCCTTTCAAAATCGTCCATAGGATCAATCATTGTATGATAACATTAGGGATAGAGATAGATAGTTTCCCTTAGATGTTTTTATTTCCCTTTTGCACGATTAAGACTAAAACTCTTTTCTTTGGAAAATTCATAAAACACTCTAACATTTCTTAAATCCTTTTTCAAGGTAAAAAATCAACCAATTCAAACTCTTTCGCCTACGGGCCTTTCTTTGAAAATCTAAAAAGGATGTGTTAATTCTACTCTGTGCAATACAACACGTAAATTCCCAAAGGTCAAGTGGAACTATGTCTACTTGGTAGAGCATGAATTTAGCATTATCCGCCTTCGGGCACATTTCTTTTGAAAATACCTCGTTAGGTAAGAACATGTTAATTCCTTCATATGCCAACGCGTGAGATTCTAAAGGTCGAGCTGTGGTAGAAACGAAATTAATGTTGTTCATAAAAAACACAATAAATGGAAAATTTTGAGCCGAACTACGACGCTCTAATTCCTTAAAAGGATACGTAGGCATTTGGTCGTGGGGCCTAAGCGAGTAAAAATTTGTAAATATTCCTTCTTTTCCCCGTATTTTATTTTGCATGCATTCCCTGTTGCATTTTTTTTCTTTTAGCTCGTAAGCTTTAGATTAGAACATACCCTTTGATTAGAACAACAAGAGTGGATCCTATGAAATACCATGGACATAAGGGGTGTAATACCTTCCCCTTGTATAATCGACTCCCTTACCCGTATCTCTCGGTCGTGAGACCTTGATTTCACCTTTCTCAAGTTTAGCGATGTTTACCTTTCCCTTCTGGTAGGATAAAAAACGTACGATGGAGACTTTATTGATTTTATCTCGATGATTGTTCGGCCGGTTGTTTCACTGCCTAGTGAGTTTCTCCTGAAAAATCTTCCATAGTCCTTCCCTAGTTAATTCCCGACAAATCTTCTTTATAAATTTCCTAATAAATCCCCTTTAGATATTCCCAAAAACCTTTTAACTTTCTCAAACTAGGCACCAATACTCGTGTTAGATATGATCTTGTTGTCGATCTAAGCCCAAACACTCGTGTTAGAGATGATTTTGATGTCAATCTAGGCACCGACATTCATGTTAGAGATTATCTTGTTGTGGATCTAGGCATTAACACTCGTGTTGTTGGTGATTTGTTGTCAATCTAAGACCAAACACTCGTGTTGGAGATGATTTTATTATCGATCTAGGCATTAACACTCGTGTTGGAGATTATCTTGTTGTCGATCTAGGCACTAACACTCGTGTTGGTGATGATCTTGTTGTCGATCTAGGAACCAATACTCGTGTTGGAGATGATCTTGTTGTCGTCCAGGCACTAACACTCGTGTTACAGATGCTCTTGTTGGTGATTTAGGCACCAACACTCGTGTTGAAGATGATCTTGTTGTCGATCTAGGCACCAAGCTCGTGTTAGAGAGTATCTTGTTGTCGATCTAGGCACCAATACTCGTGTTAGAGATGATCTTGTTATTGATCTAGGCACCAACACTCATTTTGGAGATAATCTTGTTGTCAATCTAGGCACCAAAACTCGTTTTAGAGATGATCATTCCCCGGTAAAGACAATCTTTCAAGATTCCTATCTTTTCATTTCCTTCCGCTTATCGAATGATAAAATTTAGGTCCTCGATTGTTGAATAGAATTGAGTTGGTGCATGTTTACTGTTGTTGTGCTTGAATTTGTGTAGATTGTCGCACTTAAACAAAATATTGAAAGCAAAGCTAGGGTTCCCTAAGGGAGCTCCAGTAAACTCCAAGCGAAGTCTGGCATAATGACTTCATAATTCAAAATATGGCTACTTCTCTAAGCGAACTCCAGCGAACTGCAAGCAAAGTCAGGCATAATGTTTTCAAAGTCCAAAATTCATCACCTTCGCTTAGCGAAACATAGCGAGGAAGAAATGAGAAGCTCGCTTTGTGAGCCATATCTCGCTAAGCGAAATAGGGCGGTAGGAGAAGAATTCATCGTGAAGAAAGGATTGCTCTCTAAGAAAGCCCATCTTTTCTAACTGAAAGCAGTAGAACCAAAATTATATATATAAACTTCAAGACGGTAGCAGGAAAGAGATACTAGAAGAGATAATTCCAGAGAGAGAGAGAGAAACACATCAACAATAGGAAAGTGTGACTCTTAAAGAATGGAAGCATGAAATGCAGCAACTATTGAGAAATCACAATTGATGCATACTCATCTTCATTCTTCTTATTTTTACCAAGATACCATGAGTATCTAAATCCTTTTCCTGTTGAGATTGGATGTAGTTCACTGTAACAGTATGTATGTTTATTAATCATGGCGTTATATACAATCTATTTATGAATTAATATCGATGTTATCTTTGTTTCACTATTTAACTTTATAGATTAGAATTGATATTGATAAATACGATTCTAATCTTGATCTAAGATAATCATCTATTAGATTCTAAATTCTAGACATAGATTTAGCTTTAACATTCACGCAAGTATAGATTCGTAATTCTACCTTATTTCTTAATTGATTGGGAAATTGTTGATTAAACAGTAAGGTGAAACTCTCATCAGAAGCTTAGACATAAACTCTATTTTTGAGCGATATGTGATGAAATTGATAAATATCTAGGTTTTATATAACTTTTTAGTAAGTTATGTATTCAATCGATGGATTAAATCCAATCCCAGCAAATTCTCATATCTCTGAAACTTTATCTATCATTTATAGATTTACATTCTGTAACTATAAACCATCAAACATCTTGAAAAATCCTACTTAAAATCATAGTGATTATTGAACGACATTAATATCGCACCAGCCCTTATGGATACGATAAACAAAACACTTATTTTTGATACTGAACATCAGCATCTCATATTATCCATCATGGAAAATCTCAACAACATCTGGCATGAAACATATGTAAAATACTTGACAGCCTTGTAATAATAAGCAAAAATCAAACACCTCAAAGGCCAATCACCATTGGCATCAATCATTTGACCTTTAAATCCCCGTGAAGCCCTTTAGTGAAGCTGAACAACCACTTACCTTTATTTTTCCCCAAGGATCCCTCTTCCTGAAAAATCATTTCACAACCTATCAAGCGGGTCTTCTCCCTAGTAATAATCCTCAAAAAGTGTCCCCAAAAAGTTTCTCCCCAAGAAGTGTTCTTCCTAGTGAGTTTCTCCTGAAAAATCTTCCATAGTGGACCTTCCCTAGTTAATTCTCGACAAGTCCCCCTTGTAACTTTCCTAAAAAATACCCTATAGATATGATCTTGTTGTCGATCTAGGCCCAAAAACTCGTGTTAGAGATGATTTTGTTGTCGATCTAGGCACGGACACTCATGTTGGAGATTATCTTGATGTGGATCTAGGCAATAACACTCGTGTTGGTAACGATCATGTTGTCGATCCAAGCCTAAAAACTCGTGTTGGAGATGATTATGTTGTCGATCTAGGCACTAACACTCGTGTTGGAGATTATCTTGTCAATCTAGGCACTAACATAAGTGTTGGTGATGATCTTTTTGTCGATCTAGGAACTAACACTCGTGTTGGAGATGATCTTTTTGTCGATCTAGGCACTAACACTCATGTTAGAGATGATCTTGTTGGGGATTTAGGCACTAACACTCGGGTTGGAGATGATCTTGTTGTCGATCTAGGCACTAACACTCGTGTTAGAGATGATCTTGTTGTCGATCTAGGCACCAATACATGTGTTAGAGATGATCTTATTGTTGATCTAGGCACTGACACCCATTTTGGAGATGATCTTATTGTCAATCTAGGCATCAACACTCATGTTAGTGATGATCATTCCCTAACAAAGACAATCATTCAAGATTCCTATATTGTCATTTCCTTTCACTTATCAAATGACAAAATTTAGGTCCTTCATACTTAATTGTTTTTCAGAAAGATTATATGAATACTCTCGTCATTCATATTCTCTAAGTTAAAAATAATTAAGTATGGGGAGTTGTAGCACCCCAATTTTGTCTGAGTGTAATTTTCTTTCTTTATAATTTAGCTTTTAATGTGTGTATCTCAGAAGAAAAATAAAAATAAAAATAAAGATTTTTTTTCACTTGTGCCCCTTAAATAGTAAAATTTAAATAAATAAATTTAGGTTTCATTTCATTTTAAGTGCATTTTCATCAATTTTTTATTATTTTTACCATTTTAGAAATTAAAGAAAAATACAAAAAAAAATATTTATTTACTATTTTTTATTATGTTACTATTTTTGTTTGTTTGAAATTAAAAAAAAGGCAAAAGTCATGATTCTCTCTTTTTCCATACTTTTCCTATTTTTACCAAGTGTTTTCTCTTCTTTTTGTCTTTTCTTTGTTTACTACCACTTACATGCTCAGATAAACACCCGAGAACCATAATATTCTCCCCCTCAATAACAGCCATCAGTTAGTGGTTAGTGCACATCAATATTACTCTCCCTTTTTATCCATAATATGACAGAGGTAAGAAATTAACCAAAGCATTGAAATCACATTAGTACAATAAGTTAAGTAGCACAAAGTACACAAAAGGTGTTGAAATATGTCTGAGCATAAACCCCTTACAAAACCATAAACTAAAGGCAAATAAAACTAGGAAAATACAACAGCAGTCAGGTACGATCAGTGGCGTCGTTTATGGGAATCCAACTTCCCCGTCTTCCATTCAAGACTAAAGCAACTCTTTACCAACCTTTCAATTGTCATGGCCTACCAAGCTATCAACGATAACCAAAACGTCCATTTCACCGATGCCAACAACAACAATACAAGAATTAATAATGACGTGGTCAGTCCCAAACAAGACCACATGGACAGACGGACTTCCTCTTCATCCACCCGCTCGCAACCACGCGACGACGACTACCATCCTCTGTAGAATTATGAGCCCAATACATATCAGGAGGTCCCCGTTCCTGAGGGTGCTGACGCCACAATCAGGGCACTAGTCGCGATGATTAACTAGACGAACTACATGATCTTCGCACAAGGTAAGCGCTTGTTGATGCTGGAGAAGACATGTCGGGCCCCTAGAAGACACAGAAGACCTGACTCTCGAGCTTCTCCTCCCCAACAAAACAAGGACCACTCCTGATCTCTCCCGTGGAGACACAGATGAAACGATTCTCGAAGCCCTACTCCCCGCCGCACTGGGCGAGGTCCTGCTTTGGAGAGGACTCATGCCAAAGTTGTCAAGAAACACGGCCACACTCCCCCGCACAAACAAAGGTGATCCCATAAATGTAAAAGGAACAGATGAAATTAATAAAAGCAGTCTCAGCCAATGGATCCTCCCTGTGGTCAAGACCGACATAAAGACTGTCGCTATAATTTGTCCCCCTCTTGCTCTCCAGAAAGATGCAACGAAGACGACCCTCACAGTCCACTATCCCAAGCCATCATGGAAGCTCACATTCCTAAAAGAATGGAGAAGCCCATCTACTGAAGGAGTACGACAGCATTGCTGACCATGTCAGCCATATCGATGGGTTTAAAGCGATGCTCCACTACAACAACATTGGGGCCCAATCAAATGCAGGTTGTTCCCCACGACTTTGAGGAAAACAGCCATAGATTGGTATAAGAACCTCTCCCCTGTGTCAATCACCTCATGGAGGAGTCTCAAAAACCAATTCATCAGTAGCTTCACTTCATCTCATCTACATCCAAAGAAGGAAGCCACCCTCGAGGCAATCGTCCAGAGAAGCGACGAGACCCTCAGAGAGTACATTGATTGGTTCAACTATGAGGCCATTTAGGTCCCATGCACCAACCGCATGAAGAGATACCTACTCGAGAGGGGACTTCTCCTGGGCACTGAATTTATAAAGGTCTTCGGCATTGAACCCCCTAGGTATTTTGACGCCCTCCTCGAAAAACCCTAGTTATACATGGACTAAGAGGAAAAAGAGGCAGCCAACAGAGCCTGCGATTCGAGGAACAATGGAACAACTATCACCCCAGGGAACCACGACGCGGGCCCTTCTTGAAAGACCGGGGAGAAGAGAAGGGATGAGAAAAATCGTGAGCCCCACGAGCACAGAGGACCAGCCGGACGGTTCACCGAATACACCCCACTGACCGCTTCCTGCGAGTGTATCCTTGTAGAGTGCTTCAATTCTGAGTTCAAGGACGGTGGTTTCAGGCATCCCCGATCTTCCCCTACAAAGCCCGGGGCTAACAGAATGAAATATTGTCAATACCACTATAGCCACGGTCACCTGACCAAAGACTGCGTCCACCTTAAGGATGTCATCAAGACTCTCATCAAGGCAGGGAGACTCGGTCACCTGACCTAACTTAATTAGTGCATTCCTTGTTTTCAATTCATCATTATAAGATGTTTAGGAAAATGATTTAAGACCATTCACTTTTATTCATCGACCCTATACGTAGTTTGTTTTTAAGACGGTGTTGACTTCTTATATAAACTACTCATTGATACTTTAAAGTTTGAGGTTTCGGTATAATAGGTACTTAAACCGGTCTCGCGTAAACGGGGGATTTAGAGTGTTAAGACGGTATCAGTTTTGTTTAAATCTCACTCAAAAATTCTAACATATATTTAAGAGTTAACAACCTATATACTCTTCGAATGTGTCAAGTAAAAGTGTTTGTTATGGCTCAATAAAGTGAGAGAGTCAAATAATGAAATAAAATTTGCATATAACGACTTGATAGTACATAAATTATTTTATTGAAAAGAAACTTTCAGTAATGAAAATCTACATAGAAAGAGGTAAATGAAAGCGGTAAATCTTCCTCCCCCAAACTTAAACTGAGCATTGTCCCCAATGCAACGAAGTAAGGCGAGAAAGGAAGGAAGGAAATGAGATGAATGACTACTCTTCGCCTCGGCCACGCACTCCACGATGTGCCCGTGCTCGGGCTCGTCCACGTGCATCATCTCTTCCTTGGAAAGGCTCTACACCATATCCCTGTAGTATGACATGAGTAACAAAATCATGCAGGCCATCAACCAGATAAGTCAATGCTTGCATCTCTTCAGTAAGCCCTGACATACTTCTGTCATGACAGTAGGCGTATTCGTGTTGGTCTCTCTGAAGTTGTCAGACTTCTTGCATCATCTTGTTATGTTGAGCTTCCATTCTTTGATAGTGTTTAGCTTTAGCTTCATTATGGTGCAACATTTCAGCATAAATGTCATCAAGAGTAGTCGGTTGCCCCTGATTTCTTCTTCTTCGAGGATCGTGCCCGGATGATGAATCTGCAAGATTCTAGGTAGGAACTTGTGCAGTATGTGGGTGAGTGTTAGGCTGTGGAGCGTCTTCCTCTAACACTTGCTCCATTTTATCTGGCTCAGTATTTCTTGGGACACCTAGATTATTTTGAACATTCTCAACAAGAGCAGGAGCACTACGATCATAACACCACTTATCCATATTTGTTACATTGGTAAGCTAGGGATTTGGAAAAATAATACTTGGAACTACTTTGTTCCGCACCATAATATTGTACCTTCCATCATCTCTAGCCTTAATATGGTGTCCAACACGGCAGTTTTCAATATCAATAAACAAAGCTGGTAGTGAAGGCAGATTCGCTAGTTTGTATGCCAAGTTCAAAGCATGTGCTATAGAGGTAACTAAACCTCCAATACAGAAAGGGGTAGTACCTCATTCACAGACATACTAGATATGTGCCAAGAGGAACACACTGGAGTTAATCTTCCAACCAGGCGTGAAGGTGCAGTGCGGGAAAAATAATTCTTTAGAATTAACTTTGTTGTTGTTTGCCCTCCCGAAAATTGTGTTGGCAAGTATGCGGTGAAAGTAACGGCTGGAAGGATTATGGATAGATGAAGCAAAAAGAACCTCCTAACTAGAAGGTCACTCACCAGTAAAACTTTCCATAGATCGAATGTTTTCGATGCCCAATCGACTTTTGGAGGGATTCGGTTGTGCATTCCTCCTCCACGGGGAAAATGTAACAAATCGCTCAGAGCCTCTTGATTCAAAGAATATTTGTCGTTAAAAAATCGAAAGTTTACAGTGCCGGTGAGGTACATGTTGTTATCTGCTGGAGTGTTGTAGGAGAAAGAGCTCAAAAATTCCAAGGTCAAACATTCATAAGTTGGGTGGTTCAGTGTGCAGACATGAGATAAGTCAAAATTATGAAGTAGACATTGCACATTGTCTAACAATCCCAACTCACGTAGGCAATTGATATCAACATACCTTATAGCGGTAACCAAACATTGATAAAACTTTTGGTACTTAGCTTCTTGGTGCACCCCGTCTTTGTCGTTTCTGAACACGATTACAAAAAGGTCGGGCTCTCCTCTTAGTTGTTGAACTCTTCGAGACATAATTAGATGCAAGGAAGGTGGAATGGTTCGGTTTCACAAAGATGACAGAAGGCTATGGATTTTGATATTTGTTCCTCAAGTGCTTAAATTACATAACAATAAAGAATGCAGGGATTGGAATTCAATGGTGTTTAATGATTATTTTTGAAATAGAGGATGTGGAACGGTCATGGAAAAAAGGGTTTTAATGGGGTTTAACAATTTGGAAGAAGATGAAATAAAACAATGAGTCTGGTATCTGTTCGAAACAAATACATGCGTTGTATTTTAATCTGTCCCGAGGGGCACATAATGTGGGTCGAGCTGCACACTTCAAAAGAGTATGGTGGTCGTCACGGAATATGTGGCGAACGGCACGGTATAAAAATTCATAATTTCCATAATAGTTAAAAATTAAACATTATAGATAGATACATTCAGGCGCACAGATATATTTTATATCAGCACGAAGTAGAGTAATAGTGTAACAATAAGGCATAGCATAAATGTAAATATCACATACAATGCCAAACATTTTAATATAATCCAAAAAATTTTAATTTTCTA